CTGAAACTGTTTCCAAGTAACTTCACTGTCTCCTTGAATAAAGCTCAAGATTTGTAGGAATGCAAAAGCATACAGCACCCGACAACAAAGTAAAATTCACGGTATCTGGCATCTGTTCAGAGATTATGAGACATTCAAAGAGGAACAAAAACATGACCCATACAGAAGAGAATAATCAATTGAAACCAACCCAGAACTGACACAGATGTTAGAATAGAGAAGGAAAATAAAATAATTATCAGAGCTGTATTCGCTGTGTTCAAAATGTTGAGACATGGAAGATACAAAAAACACAAAGTTGAATTTTTGGAATGAAATCTATGATGTCTGAGGTGGAAGATACAATAGAAATTGCAGAAGATTTGAGGAAGAAAATTTCTTGAGCAGAACTGAGTAGTTATATTTCTTCTTCAATGCTGAAAATACTGTTAACTTTGTTATTACGCCACGTATTTGAGAGAAATAATAATGGGTGGGTACCATGACAGGTAGCTCAAAAATATTTTCTTGTCAAAATCTCTTGGGTTGCCTTTGTTTGTGTGACTGGGAGCTGACCTCAGGCAGTGTTGAGCTTCTACACGCCCAGCCCTTTTACTTTTTTATTTTGAGATAGAGTCTCACTAAGTTGCCCACGCCAGCCTCAAGCTTGTGCTCCTCATGCCTCAGCCTCTTGAGTAGCTAGGCTTGCAGGCATGGGCCACCACACTGGCCTTGGGAATCATTTTTATTGAGAGAAGACTCTAGTTAATGATTACAAAATTAAAATATTCAGCTATGAAATTGTATGTGTTAGGGGTTTCATTTATGAGATGTATGTTTTAAAAATGATTAAAACCCAGGTGTGGTGGTGCATGCCTGTAACTGTGAATTTAAGCCCAGCCCATGCAATGAAGCAACTTAGCAAAACCCTGTCTCAAAATAAAAAATAAAAAAGGGGCAGGAATGTAGCTTGGTGTCAAGGCCTTTGGGTCAGTCCCTAGAACCACAAAACAAAACAAAACAAAACAGACGCTAGAAGTTTGGAGTGATTATTTTTCATGTTGTTTCATAAATGTGTGATTTATTTTCCTGGCCAGCTGGTAAACTTCACAGAGACATTGATTTATCTTTTTCCATCGTTTGAACCTCCCTCCCTAAGTACTTAGTATGGTGCTTCTGATAGCACATGGTCAGAGGAGGCCTCTGGTACTAATGCTGTGAGGTTGAATCAGCTACATATAAGGCAGCAGCAGGAGAGTCCCTGGGAGCCAAGCGTAAATAGACAGCTGTCACGGGGTTAGAGTGGGTGTGGGGAAGGAGGCAGGAAGACACTCACCCTACCAAGAACCTTTGTAATCCTATTTTTTAAAAAGGAGAGGGTATGGGGATTTAGCTCAGCAGCACAGTACCTGCCTGGCAAGCGCAAGGTTGTGAGTTTGATTCCTGGTACCGGAAAAAAAAAAAAAAAAGTGAATATTAAATTCTGCATTAGGTCAGGTGTGTCTGGGGTTAAGTAGAAAGCACTTAGAGATTCATATATTTGGGTTGAGCCGGGGTACATGCTTTAAAAGCAAATGCGAGTCCAACACATATCCTAGGAAACCTTTGTCCCGCTTAATGGGAGCCACACTGCATCAGGATGGGGGAGTCAATTCCTCACTTCTTAGTCAAAGAAAAAACACCTCATTTTCACTAGCAACATCAGGAACAAGGTTTGGAACCCCAAGTTCCAATATATGTTGCAAGACTCTGGTAGGAAGGATTTATACATTTTATAAGTTAGAACAGAGTCTCCACAGATTCAGGCCTAAGTGCAAATTGCTTTTAGTAAATTCCTTATTGGCAAGATAGGGGAAGCTGGTTTCAAGTAGCCTCCATGGAATCGCATAAGCTGTCTAGCCTTTTGGGCAGGGTTGCTAAGCTGACGTCACTCCTGTGCTGGTCGCATCACCAGCAGAGGCGCTGTGCCGAGCCCGTCCTGCTCAGAGGAAATGGGCAGATGGGCTTCTCACTCCATGAGCAAGAAATGCAGGATGGGGGAGGCGGTGAACCGGATATTAAGGAAAAGATCCCAGACGGTTAGGAAAGCCTTCCTGTTCCTGTTGCTTTATCACTGATGCTAAATGGTGTGAACAATGAAAAGCTACGGATTTCTGGTTCTTTCTTCTGTGCTTATTTGAATTACTAGAAAAAGAAATTCTGTATGACAGAAATACCACTGGGGTAGAAACCCTGACCTACCAAGTGCAGCACAGGCACAAAAATACACAGCTCAAAATTGATGAAGCTGGGCATGGTGGCACATGCCTATAACCCCAGCACTCAGGAGGCTGAGGCAGGAGCATCGTCATGGGTTTGAGGCCAGCTAACCTGAACTACACAGCAAGACCCTGTCTCAACACCCCCCAAAATGACAAAGTTGAACCCCACTGATGGACAGCTGGAGGAAAAAAGTGGAGCTTCCGACATCAAGATTTACTCAATGAAGTAAGAGCGACCTTAACCAGTATAGCAAAGTGGATGAGGAGTACAGTTGAGATCGTATGGGAAATGCAGCAAGAGAAGTAGAAGGGAAAATTCGAGAGGAAGTCGCTGACCCCTCAGCTGTGTTCTGGCTGCGATGCCTGAGCTTTTAGTGAGCTCCAGGACCAGATGGGGTTCTGGCTTAGAGGGAAGGAGAAAGGAAGGCGTTCAGAGGATGTGCATGAGAAGAGCGCTTGACACAAGATCCCACGGCACAGAGCACCTTTCCATCATCCGAGAGAATCTTACAGTACTCACAAAGGAAAAAGCAAATGAAAGTCGAGGCTCCTTCTCTGATTTACATGCTTGGACCAAATGCTTATGATGAATTTCAACAGTGTGCTCACAGCTTTCTTCAGCTCAGTTGTGACTGGGCTCCAGAACCGCGTGGAACTGCGGAGTCAACAGAACCCCAGCTTGCCTCAATTAACAGCAGAAACATGGAAGGAGGAGGACAGAGTCAGGACAGATGGCGAGCCTGGCGTTGCTACCACCTGTCACGTGAGAGTGCCCCAGCAGCGGGGCAAGAGGGAAGCGCAGAGCCCGGCTGACTGAGTCCAGGAGGCAGAGCTGGGGGTCAGTGGGGAGCAGGGGTGGCACAGAGTTCTGAGAGGAGACCCGTGCGTGCTCAGCCTGCCTGTGAGGAGACCGCCGGATACCTGGGACAGTGGGGAGAAGCCCCAAAGTAACTGCATTGAAAGAAGACAGAGTTTACAAAGCACATGTGGTGTGACCCCATGTGTATAACATTTAGGAAATGCAGTAAGCCACAGTGAACACGTGAGGGTCGGTGGTCACGGGGGAGGGTACTGGCCAGCCCTCTGTTACTGCAGCCAGCACCCACGGGGCTCAGCTCATGACGAGCAAAGGTTTATCTTGGTCCACAGTTTCGGACCATGATCTACTGGCCAATTGCCTTTGGGCTGTGACAGGAAGTGCATCGTGGCGGGGAGTGGTGGAGCAAAACTGTTCACCTCGTGGCCGGAAGTGGAAAAGGGAATGAGGGGGCCTGGGGTCACACTGACCCCTTCAAGGGCACAGCCCCAGTGACGGGAGCACCTGCCACCAGCCTCCCCCGTGACGGGTCCTGCCTCCTACACCTGGCTGTGCATGGGTCTCTATAGTATGATGTCTGTAACCCTCTCAGGAAGATACAACAGGGGAGTAGCTGGGTCGAATGGAATTCCTAGTTTTAGTTTTTTGAGGGATCTCCACACTGAATTCCACAGAGGTGTACTAGTTTACACTGCCACCAACAGCGTAAGACGGGTCCTTTTGCCCTGCAGCCTCAGCAGCATTTGTTATTGGTTGATTTCTTGATGATGGCCATTCTGGAGGTGAAATCTCAGCTTGTTTTAATTTGCATTTCTCTAAAGGCCAGCAGTGTTGAACATTTTTTCGTGTATTTATTGGCCATCTGTACTTCTGTGAAGTGTCTATTCATTTCATGTGCCCATTTTGTGAATGGATCTTTTATGGGGGGGGGTCTATTTTTTGACATTTACATATTCTAGATATTAGTTGTCTGCTCCAGGATAGCTGGTGAAAATCTTCTCTTATAGCACCACAATTCACAATAACTAAGTCTAGGATATGTCTGTTTACAGATGAATGGATCAAGCAAGTGTGGAATTTACACACAGTGGAGCACTACTGTGCCATAAGGATAAATTTGAGTCATTTGTAGGGAAATAGACACACCTTGAGACCATAATGTTAAGTGAAATAAATCGGACACACAGGTTAAATATTAGTTTCTTTTGAGAAACCCACGTCATAAATAAAGAGAAAAAAAGACACAGATGATAGGAAGTAGGGAGATAGATCTTTCTCAAAGGGAAGGGGATCAAGAGAGGGAGGGAGCGAGGCAAAGCGGGGGAGGAGTGCAGATGTGTTCTGTGCCTGCACCAGCCCCACACGAGGGACGGAAACCCCGTGCACTGCACACATGGACCAGTACAGACAGTCACTAGAGAAGAGGTTCTGCCTCCTCCCCACAGTGCCACGCTGGGAGCTAAGCCTTCAGCACACATGGCCTCTGGGGGCCGTTCGGGCTCCACACGATGGCAGAGGGGGAGGAGAGAGTGACAGGGCCCAAGGAGAGACGCGCGAATAACGGACGTGCACCGTGTCCTGACTGGGCAGATGGCTGCAGAGACAGTATCATGCCGAAACTTACTACACTGTGTACTTCGAACACTTGTAGGTGATTTTGCCAACTGTACTTAAGAAAGCTCTCTTTTGAAACCTGCATGAAAAAATAATGCAAATACTGACCGGAGTAACTTCGCCAGGGTTGTTCTACAGGAAGGAAAGCAGGGGGACAAGCCCCCAGAACCTCTGTGCAGCTCTTTCCGAACTGAAACCGTCCGTGCTGAGAGTTTTGGCATTCGAAGCCCTTTTCGGGTTTTAGAGGAACGGGTGTGTCAGTAAAATCTACGTGGTCGTAGATCGCCCTTGTCCGTTAAGGCCTCACTTTATGCAATTTTGTGTTTCAGGATTCATGAATCCAACAAGGGAACAAGAAAATTGGATTCATGCTGCGGCCCCAGAAGGCACTGTAAGTTTAAGAAGCCAAACCTGGTTTCAGTCCCTGAAACGGCAGAACTAAGAAGAGTTGAAGTTGTGCTTACGCTTTTTACTGGTGACCAGCAGGTCCGCGACTATGGAAATGCAAACACCACTATCGAAACAGCACTGGCCGCGAATACGGGCGAACTGCTCGGGGTGGGCTTTTCCAGAATTTGAACCTAGCTATTGTACTCATTTCCTGTTGCTCTGTAACAAAATACAGTAGCGCGCCCTTATTTTTGGGGGTGTTCCAAGACTCCAGCGGATGCCTGGATCCCCAGACAGCACAGAACCCCATATGTAACACGTTTTCCCCGGAAATACAAACACAAATTTAATGTCTTTCCATCTCAGGTCAGCACCTGTGCACCTGTGCAGATGGAGGTGTAGTGAGAAGCTAGTACCCACTTCTGTTCCCTTCGCAACTTCAGCGTTCACGCATTCATCCTCATCACGGTCGTAGCACCGTCAGCGTGATTTTCTCTGTCCGTACTGAGAGAGAATGCTCACCTTGTCGTGTCAGAGAAGGGCTTTTCGGTGCGTGGGAACCCGGTGTACTACTCCGTGCCCTGAGGCGTTACTGAGATGAGGTGCCGCTTGCACCCAAGCCCTGTGCTGAGACTGAGGCAGGTGTGTAAGTCCTGACGCGCTGTCTTGGAACTCATAAGTTATCTTTCTCTGGCGCGCTCATCAGCTGCAGGTAATTGATACCGTGGCCGGCAAAAGCTCTGCGAAGAGGGGACCCCTGTATTTCAGATTTAGTCTTGAAAGCAAATACTCACTCAGCAGCTCACCCTTGTGCAGGTTGAGAGCCCGCACACAGAGCTGGGTCCTGTGCCGTTCTCAGGCTGGAGTCCAGGTCAGGCTGGGTGGAGGGCTTACCTGGCGGCTCCGGGGAGAAACCTGCTTCCAAGTTCATGCAGATTATAGCAAGTTCCAGTCCTCAGGACCGTGTGACAGAAACCCCCCGGCTTCTTGCTGGCTGTCGGCTCGCAATGACGCTGAGCTTCTAGAGAACCCCCAACCCCTTCCCGTCTGGCCCCTCTGCCTTCCAGCCAGCAGTGACAGCTGGGTCCTCGTGTTCGAGGGTCTCACTCCTTCAAAAGCTGGGGGAGTCTCTGCTTTAGAGCACTCACTTGGTTAGGCCAGATCCCTCCAGGACACGCCTGTTTTGCTCTATGTGAGGTACTCTGCTCCCCTGAGGACAGATGGCACATTTTCCCAGCTGCACCCCTCAAGGGGAAGCCGGACGCCAGGGTGTGGGCCTAGGGGGAAGTGCACTGGAGTTGTGTGTGTTGTAGCCCTCATGTGACGGGTTGCCTGCCTGCTACCTCTTCTGGCATCATTGTAAGTGGAAATTGTGAATAAAACACTTAAAAATGTGAGGCAGTTGCTACTGATCATTAATAACTTGTGTAATTTAAGATGTACCTTGTTAGGGGAAAGAAACTTGCAGTTATTTTATTCCCAGATGTACAAAGATAGATTTTCACTTTTATAATGGTGTACTGTAGAAGTTGTATTTCAAACTTTTTCCACTCCTGGAACATTTTAATTATATAATACTGAATAGACCTATTTACTGAATTATACTTTTATGCTTAGCATAAGTCAGTTCTTAAACACTAGTTTTTAATAAACTTTTCCAAATACTGTGATTTATAATAGTCTCCTTTTTGTTTACAGTCTATTTCTTTAGTGTTTTCACTTCTTATTTAATAAAAACCTGGGCATGGTGCTACATACCTGTCCTCCCAGCAATTGGGAAGCTGAGGCAGAAGGGTCACCGCACGTGTGAGGCCAGCCTGAGATACACCTACATCATGAGTTCAAGAGCAGCCTGGGGTACATAGCAATACCCTGTCTTGAAAGACAGCGAAAGACACAGAGAGGGAGAGAGACAGACAGAGACAGGGGAAGAGGGAGGAAGGCAGGAGATCGAGGTGAGAGAGAGGAGAGCAAGAGCGAGGAACAGGGAGAAAGAGACGGGGGTGGAGGGAGAAGAGAGAAAGAGCCAGCTTTGTGGGAGTCAGAAGTTGTACAAGCTTGAAAGCTGCCCACGGGCTGGTATTAGACGCAGGGGTAGTGCGTGTGTTGAACTGTTAAGTAGAGGAAAGTGTGAGGCCATAGGCTGTTTTTATCATCCATTTTCACCCTCATGCAATTATATGAGCATTTTCATGAGTAACAGTAAAGTTGATGAAAGTGGCCAACAGCAGCCAGAAAGGCCCTGAGCACAAGAGCAGGCCCGTTTAAAGCTTCGCAGACTTGCAGCTGCGCTGCCCTTGCATGGCTCCCTTTTTCTGACTCCTAGCCTCCCTTTTCCCGACATTTCTTTGCCTCTAAAATTTATCTCCCCAGGTTGAATGACCAGCTCTCCTATTGTTTAAAAGATGTTTTTCAAAGATTTTTCAGAGCACGCTCTGAGCATAAGGCAAACTGCCGGCTGCGTTTTCCTGAGCCTGGCCTTCCCCGTACAGGTGCTCCACGTCTGGAAAGCGGCGTGTCATTCATTTCTCGGTCTCTCCATGGTGTGCCTCATACACTTCGCATTGGCCTTACGAAGCCAACATTTATGCAGCTGCCAGAAATCTCCAAATTTAGTTAAAACTCACTCTTACCAATGTTGTCTTAAGTTTCTTGGCTCAGGTCTTCCTGTCCAACTCCCAGGAATCTCTCTCCATGACTTACTTTAAAAACTTTCAAAAAGAGGGTATTATTAAAAACACTTATGCTAACACAGAATACCCTGTAATAAACTTGGTCTAACCCTTTAAACACTTAGCTTTCATATCATTTGTCTTAAATTTTTATCTGTATTTCAAACTCATAGTATACGAAAAGGCAGGGAGTTGGCCCCATTGAAGAGATATGCATAACTGCGGAAATAGAAAAGTTGGAAGGCTGGTCCCGGTCCCAGACACAGCTTGTGTGTGGTGGGCAGGGCAGGGCTATGCGTCCTCTTGGACTCAGCCAATGTCAGTGTTATGTGACACCAAGTAAAGGTACAGATCCCTGAGGGAAGGCTTAAAATGCTGTCTAGACACGCCTCCGACAGCCCATACCTCCTAGCAAAAAAATGAGCGAGCATCTTATTTGGCATAGTATGGGCTACAGACTCCTCCATAGTGCCAACCTGATTGAAAAGATCTTCCCGAGCCCTTACAGGTTCACAGACCGGTCCTGTTTCTATTCCACTTACCCCTCAAGGGTTGAAAGGAATCCAGGATTGATTGGCATTTAGTTCTTTTGTTCTTAAAGGTCTGGAAATCATAAGCAAGCCCTTCTCCTTTGAAAATGTACACCTATGTTTTTTACAATAAAGTTTCACAGGTCCTTAAAGTCAATGCTCAGGCTCAAATTTTTACTCTGACATTTATGGCTCTCTCTCCTTTCCTTTCCTTTCCTGCCCTGAAAGAAACTTCTAAATTCCTAGTGTGGAAGTCACATCTCTCAGGGTTATTTCCTGTAACTGTCACCTTCGAGTCTATCATCAAAACTATAAGTTTGAGTAAATGAAGTCTAGGAATCATGATTGTTTAGACAGAAGAAATAGTGATGTATTTAGAAACAGTTGTAGCAGGAATCAGAATCAGATGACTTGCTGCTTGTTTTGTTGTTTGTGGGGTCCAGCTAGTAGAAATACTTACATCTGATGAAGAAAGGGCGCCAAGCTCTCGGTGGTTTGTTTTTCCTGCTCGAGGCTGGAGGTCACACTTCTTCGTTTTCATCAGGGTTTGAGGACTCTTCCACCAGGAAGCTGGCGTCCTCCTTGACCGGCGGCGTGGTCGGAGACTGGTGCTCTGTCAGGGGCTTGCCTTCCCAGTCGTAGCCGAACCAGAGTGGGGGGTCCTCAGAGCTGTGCTCCTGCTGCTGAAGAAGCGATGCCATCCGGTGAGCCGCCTCCCTGGAACAACAGTGACTGGCCTTAGCTAGCGGCCCCACTGCCAGAGGGCCGAAGGCGGAGCTGGAGAACTCACTGTCACGAGTCAGATTGCCTTCCGTGCCCTCTCATCTTGCACCAACGGGTGACATACATGATTGTGTGCGTAACCAGGCTCCCGGAGCCGAAGTAGCTCTCTGGTTCAGAGGTTACTGGACTCAGGGAGTGGGTAGTGTGCTTGGCCATGGGAGACCAGGGACCCTGGGACCCCAGTTCTCGCCTGGGACCCCAGTTTCTCTGATGAGGGCTAACCTAACCAGTCCATATCATTTTGTTTGTAATCTGCATTTCACTGAGGAAAAGGTGCATGACTTGAAGAGATCAACGTGCAGATGGAAATCCTGTTACAGAGAAAAGAAGGCATGGGGGGCATGATGGCAGAAGGGCTCTCCCAAGAAGTTGGTTAGAATCACCAGACCAACACTAAGAAGGAAATGGGTAATCAGCCTCTTCTGCTCGAATAGAAGTAACTGTGATGTTGAACCGTGCAGGGGCTACTTTCCCCGCTGCTCCTGCGGTATATTACGCTGAATTATTGGAAAAATAACTAAGGCACTGCTGTGGGCTGGCACTACCATATACTTGGAGTTCAGTTTGTGCGAACTAGGAATAAAAACTCAGATAAGGCAGTGAAACTGAAAAAGTGAAATAAACACCAGGGAGACAACCAAAGCTCTGCTAATTTGTCTCTTCACACATGGCCTTTCCACACAAAACTTACACAAGTTTAAAGGACAACTTAGCAAACCAATGCCTTTTCTCTGGAGAAACACGGTATCAATTTGAGCATGGTGAGTTTATGGGACAAAATAAAGCTTTGCATTCTGTTAATTTTTAAGTCTTTCTTGAAATGCTATTCTGTTTTAAACCCATTCTGTACTTCTATATATTCTCTAAGTAGAACATTATTGTATAAAAAGAGTAGGCTTACATCTTAAATCTTTCGCTTTTCCTATAGTTTTCTCCTGGTATTTCTTCCTTTTGCGTTCTGTGAAGCCAAGATTACCACATTGCTTCAGGGCTTTTCTGCAGGATTTCCCCCAAAGACTTACCAAAATGTAAACCCGACTGTAGGGACCTGAGGCACGCAACAGTGGCAGCACAGGTTGGGCAGCGTTAGATGCTACGGGAGGCAGCAGGGCTCCATGCGGCCCTTGACCCCATCTCCACCTGTCTGAACTTTACCTGCCCCCAAAGCTCCGAGCCACTGCAGCCTCTTTCATATGCACTCAAACCCAACAGCTTCCTCTGCGAACCTCTTTAGGAAGCTGACCTTGGAATTCTCTGCAGTACATAGCTCCAGGGCATTGTTTTAAACTTGGTTGTTTTCCTTTGGTTTAAAAAGATGGTAAGTTATTTAAGGGTATGTTTCTTTGCATGTCTCTGAACCCTAACCATAACATCCCAAACAGATTTCAGCAGCTCGCCCCAGTCCGGTCGCTCTCTTGGCTTCAGGTTTGCTTGTCCGGGAGAAGCAGCCCGGGTTCCTATGCGCAGCGCCCTCCTTCCCTGTCTCCCAGACAGCAGAGCTCAGATGCTCAGCGCTTCACAGTTACCGTCAACACCACTGACGCTGACTGTACTGCGAGAGGGCTAACTACAGTGAGAGACAGCCGTGGGCCTGATGATAGGAAAAGGGAATGTTTGGTGGAGTGATAAAGGACTTGCCAGTCGTTCAACAAATGATGTTGTTTGTCAGCAGCAGGGTTGAGACAGGGTCTCGCTATGTACTGTCGGCTGGTCTTGAGCTCACTATGTAGCCCAAGCTGGCCTCAGTGATCCTCCTGTCTGTCTCCCAGGTACTTTTTTTTTTTTTTTCGGTACCGGGGATCAAACTCATGACCTTGCGCTTGCCAGGCAGGCGCGTATGCCACTGAGCTATATCCCCAGCCCTTCTCCCAAGTACTTTGAAAGCAGCCCTGTGCCACCCTACCCAGCCTATATATTGTTAGCTTCAGAAAAGCAACCGTTTTTGAGAATCCTAGATAGCTGGTATGAGGATAAGAACTCTTATTGCTGAATTTGGGAATGTATAAATATTGGATCATACAGTTCCTCAGTCAGCTACAGCCCTGGGTGAACTTGGGGTAATTGTAATTAAAAGAACAATTAGCAAACAGTGGCGGTTTCAGAAAATCACAAGAAAAAATTGACGTTAATATAGATACAAGAAGAATGGGGGGTGAACAGGGACACTACTCTAACTTCAATGGTACGGGTTGGAATTCAGTGCTAGGCTGCACGCTGAGCCACAGCCATGGTGAAGCAGCCAGTAGTGTGTGCATTTCCTAATTTGTTTATCTGTGGGCTCCCTGTCCCCTATCCCAATCTTAGTGGTGAGAACCATCTCCATTCCACCCACAGGCAGCTTCAGTGGGACCAAACCCCTGCGGGTCTCCTGGCTGTTGCGCGCTGTGCTTGCAGCCTGGAGGGAGGCAGAGGGTCCGTCTCAGACCCTCCTTCCCCTAGTCTCGACTGTCAGGACGCTGACACGTCCTCCCATCTAGTGCATCTCCAGGGACAGTTTGAGCCCTGGGTGCTTTCACACAAGGATAGTCCTGGATAGAAACTAAAACTCCGAATCCACCCCAGAGCAAAGCTGGGATTCTCTCTAAAGGAGCTTGAATGCTAGCGTGGACTTTCTCCACTCCCCCCGCTCTTCAGAGAATTCTTAGCCCATGAATTAGCTGTCTTTACCTCCTTGCTGGGGACTGAAATCCTCACAGGGACTGGCTCTCCTGAGATCCAGGACTTTGCCAAGAGTACAGACGACATGGTGACTCCTGGCCAGCTTTCTGAATTTTTTTTGTTGATTGCAGCAACCTGTATAGCTGTGTTTGCACACATGCACTTTGAAAAGCATCAAGACACTTAAAACTGTAGAATCAAAATGTTCTTGCCAGAAACAGCTCATTTTTCTCCCCCCACCCCCTCCTCTCCTCTGTCATGGCTTGGTGTATTACAGTCAGCACTTGGGGACTAGGAAATATTGAAAAGACTGCACATGTAGGAGCTACGGTGTGTTCGGAGCTCCTCAGAGGACGTGCAGCTGTGCTCCACTCTGCCTAGGCCCGAGTGACTCCAAGACCCTGTGTGAGGTGAGCTGGGCACTCAAGCCATCTACAGCCCTGGTTAGTCTCCTCCTCTGCCAGCTGGTGAGAGGTTTCTTTGGATCTGTATAGAAGAGTGATTTTCCAACACAACCAGCTGTAAAAGGTCACATGAAATGGTTAATGTCCTGAAGTGCGTGTGTGATTCTTGTTTTTTATAGATTAAAAGGGGTTCAAGGTGACCTTGTAGTGACATCACTTGCCCCCACATTTCCTTGTGTCTTGAGTCCGCAAACGGGAGCGCGGGTGCACAGACAGCCGTCGTCAGCGCTCTGCATCATGGGTCAGCTGGGCACGACAGGGCGCCCTCAGCCCTGAGTGTTCGCGTCCCCCGAATATCAGCCTCAGTAAGGCTTGAGGGGCTCATCTGAAGGCAACAGCGCAGAATGACGATGACCAACACCTACACGCAGGGTCTGCTTTGTACCTGCATGGCCTTGGACGTTATTTAACCTGTTTCAGCCGATTTTCTTATTCATTTTTACGGTAATGGGATGTCTGTGAGGGTTATATAATAGTCTATGTAAAAAAGATTTAGTACAGTATATGGCAAATAATAACATTATTTGCTCATACTAATAATAACAGTAGCTCCAGGTGACAAAGGCTTGAGCCCCTCTCTCAGCTGGAGAGGAGGGAAGCTCAGGAACATTTTATTTCCAGCAGCACAGCTGTCTCGGGGTGCCTGAGTGTCTGCCCAGGCATGGCTAGGGAAGGCCTTCAGGAAATCTTCCTGCAGCTACTTGGGCTCGGAAGGCCATGGAGATTTTCTCTACTGATCTCTCCAGAGTTGAAAGTTTTGGGCTCCAGACACAACAGTATCTGAAAGGTCTCTTTACTTTTGCTACTTAGAGAAGTAAACTTTCACTCTTCAGCCTCTCCGTGGTACAGACTCTGCTGGGTTGTGGGGACCATTGTGAGGGTCTTTCTCCCTCTGCCCCAATCTGTTCTTCCTCTCTGTTGCCTCTCTTTCTTCCTCCACCGAGGGCTACTGATGAGTAGCTCGCTGTTGTACAACTGCCTCAAGGACAGACAGCGAGATGTTCTTGTTGTGTTTTATGACCATGGTTGTTACTAACCCTCCTTGAATTGAAGAAGGCCGGCCTGTCTTCCTCTTCCCTGTTACTGAGACTCAATCCCAGACACCCAAGACTTAAACGGGAGGTTTGTTCTGGCTCACGGGTTCAGAAGTTTCAGTGCAGGGTCAGCGGGCTCAAATGTACAAACACGGTGGGAGGGCCTGCCACAGAGGAGGGCTACTCACTCACGGGAACCAGGAGGCGACCAGGAAGGGAGGTTTTCCACCCCAGGTCACGATGCAGGCGAGCTGCCTCCTCTGACCAGGCTCGACCTCTAACAGCACACGCATCAGAGATTGATTCACTGGTGAATATTGTGTCCCCATGATCCAGTCACCTTCCAAAAGCCGTGACATATGGACACTTGAGACTTTGGGGGGGTGCTCTAGATCAAAACCATAATAGAACCTTGCCTCCCTCCACTTGGGGCTTCTGGGGTCACTTCCTGGGAGGCTTTCAGCCTCTGGGGTTGGTGGAATGGCAGCTGTATCTTATGCTAAAAGCTGATGCAAAACAGTTATAACCAATCTGCTCATTAACCCAAAATTTGCTCCTCTCTGGCGTAGGAAGGGCGGGCTGAGCAGACCTCTTTGCTCTGCAAAGCTGGTGCAGTATTTTCACATTCTACTAAATACAGGGGAATTTGTATATGCAATACTTTCTACTAATGGGTCTAGTTAGATTTCAAGAGTGGAATCATATGTTTTCATGTTTACAATGGTTCAAAGTCATTGAACTAATTCCCAAGTAAGAAAAAACTATGTGTCTCAGCTACCAAAAGTTTCCTTTTACCCAGATATGACAGTGTCTGCAGTCAAGGGACCCATCTTGGCTCTGGTAAGAGCAAACAATTGTGCTTTATTAGATATAGGTGAGGCGTTAGAGGTCATCCCTTGAGCTCTGGAGGCTCCCCATATACTGTGCAGTTCAACACCCCCACCCAAGGATCTAAGTGGAAAAGGAAGCTGCTCCACAGCCCCCGGAGCTGACCCCAGACAGCTGCAGGCAGCCAGGCCTCACTACCTCTGTGAGCTAAGAGGCTCTGCTATCTTGGGAGCCCCCGGCTGACAGGCAGTGTCCTGTCTTAGATGTTGGATGTAAACACAGATGTCCCTGGATCCTCACTGGTCCCAGCCCTGGAGCTCTCCAGACCTCTCTGCAGTGAGGACTGTCCTTCCTCACTGCCAGACAACGAGAGAATCAAAGGTTTCTAGACCTGTCTCCCGCTGGGGCCGGGCAGGAAGGGAGCATTCAGGGAGGCTGAAAGGTGATGCTCTGGCCTCCTTAGACGAGGAGAGGCACAGGCCAAGCCCGCCTCCATCTACACATCAGGGCCAAGACTCTGCTTCTTGCTGATTAGGCCCGCCAGGCTCTGTGGTAGAAAGGAAAATAAACCTTTTGCCGTCCCAGCTTAGACTTTCCATAGATTTAGCTACGATTACAATTTTGCATTGAGGTTTGGAGACAAAGCCTAGCTAAGCAGTAAAGTCACACTCTGCTTTATTTAGTTTCCTTTCCCTATTTTTGATCTAGGGACCTTGTAAGAGGACTGAAGAGAGGCGGGATTTGGCTATTACTGGATAGATACCACGGGTCTTCTCGACCAGATACTTATGTATCATATGAGTAGTCCCTGCCAGAAAGTCTCTGTTTGATCTAAAAACAAAATAATACTTGATGCTGAAAGCTACTGGGTATTACAAATGCCACTGAGTTTCCTCGGGAAGCAGCTCTCAGAGCTTGCCCCCAGCAGCGCACACTCACGTGGAAATTTGCCTGCAGTACTGCATCTTGAGAATCCGGAGTTGTTTGCAGCCCCTCTGGAGGTCACGGAGGGTCTGGTCAGTAAGCAGGACGCAACCACAGATGTCCAAAATGTGCAGGTAGTGGCACCTTGCTGACAACATCTCTATCGCTGAATCTGTAAACTGAGTGCAAAGCCAATTGGTAAGTACTGGTTATTCAGACAAACTCCATCCCCTGGAAGTGCAGCGTCTCAGTCAGTTTAGGTTGCTACAAGAAGATATGAGATTGGTGGCTTGAACATCAGGCATTATTTCTCACATTTCTGGAGACCACGAAGCCCAAGGTCAAGGTCTAAATGGAGATGCCTGCACATCTGGTGCCCAGTGAAGGCCCTGTTTGCAGATGGCTGCCTTCTCACCATATTCTCATGTGCCAGAGGAGACAGAGAGAGAGAGAGAGAGAGAGAGAGAGAGAGAGAGAGAGAGAGTCTCCTTTTTTTATTGGCAGTACTGAGGATTGAACCCAGGGCCTTTGTCCTGAGCTACATCTCCAGCAGCCTTTTACTTTTATTTTGAGGAAAGGTCTCTCTAAGTGGCTAAGTTGCCCAGGCTGGGCTTGAACTTGTGATCCTCTTGTCTCAGCTTCCCAAAGTGCTGGGATTACAGGTGTGCACCACCACACCATGCATTCCTGTTCTTCTTAGGACAAAAGCCCACATGGGGCTGCACCCTTACAAATCCCTCTAAACCAGGGCCAGGGATATAGCTTAGTGGCACATGTGCCTGCCTGGCAAACGCAAGGTCCTGAGTTTGATTCCCGGTACCAAAAAAAAGTGAAAATAAACCCCTCTAACCCTATTTAACTCCAAAAACCTCACTTCCTGGCCCTGCCACATGGGCATTTAGGGTTTCACCCTATGAACTGGGGGACACCCAAGCACTCGGTCTTGCACAGAGTCAGAATTCAAGTAAAGTCAGAACTGTAAACTGTCTACCTCAGTGGGCACCCATAAAGGTTGTGATTGTGCAGTTATTTTCCTTGACAAGTCCTCTGGTTTGGATGAGAAACTTCATTAAAACTTCTTTAATAATACCTGTCACACCAGTGTGAGCAATTTAGGAAATGCTACAGCCGTGGGGCTTGGCTTTACATTTAAAGTTCACCCTAAGGCTTCATCAGTCTGAAAATGTGTGTTTGATAACGTAAGTTAAAAAACAACAAAGTACATATCCCCTGAAGCTAATGTGCATGCAGGACCTGCTTCCAGGAGGGGCTGGGGCACCCCCAATGCACGGTGTGGGGAGGATGGGAGGGCCTGGCTCTGGGAAGGGACAGGGAGGTGAGACAGACATTTGCAGGAGAAAGACGAGCAGAAGCCACAAAGATGACATAAATCCTCTGAGAAATGCCGTTGAGGGTTCCAATATCTTGCAAGTTTGCCCAGATATCCTGCAGGGGTGATTCAGCTCCGTGTCTCAGTTTATTTCCTTACTCCGGCCTAGCTCTTGAATTTATAGCCAAGCTGAGACTTGCCGCAGAATCAACTAGATTACTCTCTCCACAGGAATTCTTTTCCAACTGGATTTAATTTATTTTATGGTCAAACATTCTAAAAAACATATGCCATGAGACTTGGCCCTTGCCTTTTAACATAAAGTTAAGAGAATTATGCAGAAAAGCCCTTTGGTTGAAAATGTACACTTTGTAAATTTGTAAGAGTAGATGAGGTCATTGTCTAAGCACGCACTGTTTCCAGAACATGCTCAGAACCAAGGTTCAACATTGCAGCTGACTCTCGCAAAAATACCTCCTGACATTCCTGCTGCACTCTATGGGTCTCTGAGGGTCTGATGTCATTGAAAGAATGAGGCCCTTGGTATTGAAGAGGACAGGAAGGACAGTGAGGTGATTGAAATGTCCAGGGCAGGTGGAGCTCAAGGGGCAGGTTTCGCTTAACAGGGGGAGAGCAGGAAAGGAGCCCAGTTTCCTATGTAAGCTCAAGCTGTTCAGTAACCGAGCTGGGGCTTGGACTTGTACAGATGGAAGGCTGGGACCTAGGGGTGCAGATGACTTGGTGACCTCTCTAACTCTCAGATGTAAGGTCCTGGTCCCAACCCCATTGGGCGGATGTTATGTTATTCCCAACGCACTCTCTTTTAGTCTCTGGGGAAAAAAATGTTTAAGTCTATGTTTTAAAGGAAGGCATTTCATATTTGAGAAATAATATAAACATATTACTGAAAATTACAAAGAAAAAACAAATTCATCACCTTAACATGGCTACTTTTAAAATTCTGGAGTATTAATTAATTATTTAATTCATCTAAATTCCAGGGAATTTTTAAAGACATTCTGCACACTGAACATCACCATCATCTTCCCCGCATCCTTCCTCCTTGCCTTGACTGTGACGAAGCTTGGCCGGCTCACTGGAGGATGCGACCTTGTCACTTTGTCCAGTAAAAGAGGAAGCTGCCCGTGCTCTAGGTGGCTGCAGGACATGAGTGACCCTGGGCACAGCCGCTAGCAGAAGACCCACCCCACCCGGGCCCAGTTGCGATTGCTGCCCGAACAACTGTGACCAAATAAAATGGGATGTTGAAGCCACCGAGTGTTAGGGCGACTGGCTACTTAGCAGGAGGTAAGGGACACGTCAGCCAGCACTCTGCCTGCAGTCTCACTCTTCATGATATACGAGAAAGTATGACATACTGGTCATCTCCCTTCCTTATAGTCACTTTGAAACCTATAGCTGATTTTCCTGACGGCTAGTTTTGAAATCGCTAAACTAAGAATTTCTAGATACGTTAGCCAGCTGTATTAAGGAAATTAAGACTCAGAAAGGCAGGACTGTCCTGGGGAATCCCAAAATTAGCAAATATCTTACTCTTCTCCTGCACACTGCAAGTCTAGAACTGGATTTAAGGTACTTCACTAAACACTGAACCTTTTGTCCAGGGCCCTCCCTGTATCCTTTTAGTCTGAATTTTCCCACCTGTAAAGAGGACAAAAACACACCAAAAGTGTTAACTCCCCTCAACCAGTGTCATCAGAGCCCTGGGGATACTGCTGATGATAGGCTCTTCCAGTAGAATGTCTCACTGAATCGGGATGAGAGAATGGGCGTGTTCCCTGCTCTGATGCTGTCCATGGGCCAGGGCCTTGGAGAGAGCAGCAGGGCTTTGTGAGCTGGCCGCCACCTCAGATCTGTCCTCCTGCAGGACAATCCTTCAGCAGCCTTGGACTAACCCAGTTCTCTTTGTTTTCTGGCTTGTCATTCTCAAGAATAACTAGAATGTACTGGAAGTACAGCAGTCTGAGATGGGGTGGCAGCACTGGCTGGGAAAACTGGGCTCTGTCCCAGTCTCACGTTGTTATGGCTAGTGTCTAGATGTCCCTCCCTCAAAGTCTCATGCGGTACTAGAGTTTTTCTTGAGTGGCTGAATCTACTGTGACTGATTCATAGTGCTATGCTGGGATTAAGGGTGCTGGGACTAAAAGTGGGTGGTTGCTGGATCAATCCACTGATTGGATTGGCACCGCCCTAATCTTGGTAAACTGTGTACACTCTAAAGGACAGAAAGAGCCTTGTCTCTCCCTGCCAGTTGTATTTGCTGTCTTCTGCTGCCATGAACTGTTGCCCCTTTGCCATGTGCCACCCTGCCTTGGAGCCAGAGGATCATGGACTGAAACTTGTACAGACTGAGCTGAACGAACCTTCTCCCTTTAACTCTGGGTGCCGGGCATTTGTGTCAGCAAAGGGAAAAGTAATTAAGACACACCTGGACACAGGCTCACCTCAGGCTTTTGCGCAGCAGGTCATTTTGCCCATAAAACTCAAGCAGGGGGCTGCTTCCTGTCACCTACACCTTCCTGACAGAAACACAATTCCAAAGCTCAGACCTGCTTCAGCTTTTTCTCCTCGGGGGTGCATTGAAGAAATAGTTTACAGTTATTGTTCAGGGACTCACTTTAATTTCTCTTTTCCCAAACCCTTATTCTTTCTTTTTAATGATGAACTCCTATCTCAGCGAAACGGCACGAGGATCAAAGATGTCTGTGTTAGGAGAGGGCCTTTGAACTAGGCCCTGCATGGTCGAGGTCATGGCTCATCAAAAGCAATGTAAATAGACTCAATCAGGCTGGGTCACTGGAGGTAACATGAGTTGAGGAATATTCAGACTGGCCCAAACAGTGCTCACCACATTTTCTGAATCAGGGTACTCATTTCACCCACAATTTCACTAGAACGATTCAGAAAGTAAAGCTATCCTATAGCTTTACACGGGGATTCTGAGGGCTAACCCAGCTCACCTCTAGAACCAGGTGGTTCTGACAAGAATGACATCTGGTGTCCCTAGTTCTACACAGGTTTGTTACTAGAGAACTTTGCTGCAAACTTCCAGGCTCACCGCGTCTTTCCCCCAACTGCCTCCTCCTCTCTGGGGGGTCATAAGTAGCGTGGAGGACGTAAGAGACTCCAGCACCACACTCTGAATACGCTCACCACACAAACAACTCAAAACTCAGTGTGCAGCCTGGCTGGGCTGACGCTGTGTAAACAGCCAGGCGGGGTGCGCAAGAGAAGAGAACAAGCTTCTAACAACCTTGCAGTTCCTGAGGGTTTCTTTTTTTTAAGATTAAAAATATTTCATCTTTCTGAATATTTTGCCAAAATTTAAGTTTTTCCCTGTTAGTGTGTTGTGGTTTTCCTCCTGATGTGGTAATCCTTGACTATCTGTCCATGACTAATAATGGCGGGCTAGAAGCTGGCTGGAAGCTTTTCCACCACAAACTCCAGCAAGGGATGGTCTGGGACGGGGAATCTGCGGAAAGTCCCCAAGGTCAGTGTTTTCATCCCAGCTCCCGGCACCTCCGAGAAGAGGATTCTTTCTAATCTCCTGCCTGCGGGGAAAGATCTGGCCGCCAAGCTCTGGAAGCTGAGCTGGAAGAAGTCCTTGAGCGCCTGCACCTAGCATCCAATCCCTAAACCTCCCCTTTTGCTTCTGGGCCACACTCGCAATTAATCATGGCTTCTCCAGGCCAGCAACTCACTGTTTTACTATCTCTTGGGTAGTGGGCCTTTCGGGGAGCAATTTTGCTTCCTGGGGGAAATTGGCAACATCGGGGGATATGTTTGGTGGTCAAGATTGGACCTGGGAGGGTTGGGTGCTACTGACCGAGTGAGTGAGCAGAGGAAGGGGTGCTCTGAGTATCCCTCGGTCCCAGGCACCACTCCCAGACACACACAAAAGAAGGGACTTACCTGGAATTTCAGAGTGACAGCATTGTGAAACCTGGGCTTAGAAAATGAATCCCTCAACTTCTGTTTGGGGTGGGAAGGGACAGCAATCTGGAGGTGTAAGAGAGAGGAGGAGATGGGAGGGTTCTTGTGCTCCTCGATAACTTTTAATGAGGCCTTCCTTCCTTTAGCCCCCGCCTAACCCAGTTCCAGAGATTACAAGGTGCTACGCAGTGTAAAGATGTTTTTTCAGCTTTCTCAGCAGTCAGCTTAGGATTTAAAACTATCTCCAGTGTGCTAAATTTTCCCTTCTACTTTCAAGCTTCCAGAAAAAGTTTTTTGTTCTCATTTCCTCTTCTGTTTTTCTGGTCTGAATAGGTCCTCACTCTTCATACACAGTTTTGATAGGGTTCCAAGGGAACAGAATTATATGTGTATAGTCAATTGGCCATGTTAGTCCAGAACCCAAGGTCTCTATTTCTTGATGTGGATATAGGTCCATAGTATGTCAAGGGAAAAGAAAGTAAGATATAATTTATATTGGAAAGTATGATTCTAGTCTGTTTATTTTTTTAAGGTAAAAGACAAACCTGTAAATATTTCTAACATTTGGTACATAGAAAAAAAATCTAGAAGAATAGTTATGCTTAGCTAGTAGTTTTACAATGGGTTTTCACTTTTTACTTTAAGCTTTTGTATGTAGTCAAATTTTTTACAATAAATATTTCTTTTATACATAGAAGACAAGACAAATCAGATTGTTTTTGCTATCCTGATCTCTTCTGGTTCTACATGAATTTTAGGATTTTTTCTCTAGTTCTGTGAAAAACGTGTTGTATTTTTATTGGCATTGCATTAAATCTGTATATCAGTTTGGGAAGTATGGCCATGTGGACAAGATTGGTTCTACCTATCCAGGAACATGTGGTATCTTTCCATTTTCTGATGTCCTCTTCAATCTCCTTTTTCGGAGTGATGTCATTCTCATTATAAAAGTCTTTGAGTCCTTCATTAGGTCAGTTTCTAAGTATTTAATTTTTCTTTACACTATTGTGTATTATTTTTATACTATAGGTATTATTTTCTTTACACTATAGGTATTATTTTCCTAATTTCTTCCTCAGTTAGTTCATTTACACAATAGAATACTATGCTGCCATGAAAAGAATAAACTTGAGTTATTTGTAGAATAATGCATGCACCCTGAGACTGTAATGTTAAGGGAAATAAATCAGACACACAAGCTTAAATATCACATGGTTTTTCTTATATGAGAAACCCAAAATATAAATAAAGAGCAAAATAAAAAATAATAAGAAATAAGGAAATAAATCTTTTACCAAGAAAAGGGGAGCAAGAGATGGAGGGAGGGATAAGGGAAGGGAGGCAAGGGGGTGAGAAATGCATTAAAATGTGTTGTGTGCATGGACCACCTCCCCACAAAGAATGAGATCCTTATGTACTGCAAACATGCACTAATAAAAAATAAAAATTAAGAAAACAAATAAAAGTTCACTAAGAGAAAAAAGAAAAATTATCAGACACTCTAAAATAAGACAAAAGATGACTGACCTCTAACCATCATTCCGGGAGATCCTTTGAGGGACCCACCTGAGAAAACCTAGAAGGAATCCTGCCTTGGGGTGACATGCTATTTACTACTGATGAAGGCCCAGACTCCAGCCTCAGTGAAGCTATATGTTAGCACTTTGTGCATTTCTGCAAGAGAGATGCAGACTGTTTCTGTCAGAATTAGAATCCCAAGGTTGCGGGTGCATTCACCAATTTTAGATCTAATCTGGCAACCATATTCTAGCAGCCACCATTCTTTTTTCAATTCCTATAAATACCAAGTTCATTCCAATGCTCTATGCTTTGGCTTTATTGTTTTGTTGGTTCTTTCATAAATGAATAAGTAAATTTTGACAAATACCTGTATTTGTATGAGAATTACGTTTTTAACCTTGTGGAAATTCTCCTTTGACATAAATGAAATCCTAAAGCTATTTCCAGTTTGGCGATAGGAAAGAAATCTAATGAATACCTCAGACATGGCCAAGAAAACCAGTTCTGTGGTGCATCAGGCCCTGCCTACCTCCTCTGCCGTGGGTAAGCTGGACTGAAGGACATACCTGCGGACAGCCTGCTAAGCTGAGAGAAGTGAGGCCGGTGCAGTAAATGGCCAGCGCTTTAACAGTATTCTCGGACAGCTGGGGACAGTAAGAGACATCCAGTTGTTCCAAGATCAGTGAGTTTTTGCAGAATGCCTGCAAGAAATTCCAAGGTCAAAGGTTTTTCCTTAGTTTTCCTAAGTCTCCACCGAATGTTGTGTACATCCAGAGCCATCAAACCCACCCCACTTTACTTAGTATACACTTCCCTGAAATACAGAGGTTGCTCTTGTTGCCAAAAATAAAGCAAGAAAACTTTACAACAAGCGCAAGGTCGTGAGTTCGGTTCCCAGTACCGGAGAAAAACCAAAAAAAAAAAAAAAAAAAGAAAACTTTACATCCAAAATCTCATTACAGCAAAAGATCTTCATATACCAGTTTAATAGCTTAGCAATATTCAAATTTCAGCTAATACTGTCTCATTTTTTGGAAGTTATTTCTAATGAAATATGATTCATGCGGTCAGTAATTATTAGAGCTCTATTCAGCCAAATGAGTGGATCAGGAAGAGTCTGGAGTTGAGACCAGATGACAAACACATTAGGGGCCACAGTGGGAGGTGATAGAAAAGCTCATTCCTAGAAATTTTATGTCTACCATTTGTTCCTTCTGAAACCTCAGCAAGTCACTTAACCTTTCTGAGCCTTGCTTTGCTCTTTTAATTGAGGAAAATAATATTTATGGTCTAGCATTGTTGTGAAATGCCAAAATGTCCAAAATTTCTAGGGCATTACAAAGGCTGGAAGTCATTGGTAATTCTTTCCTTTATCTTAGTATTTCTTAATTTTCATCCCGCCTCATGAATGATAAAAAGCAACCATGAGGAAAGTGACAACTCAGCAGTTATGTAAGAGCAAAATGATCCACAACTGCAAACCTAAAAGTAATTGTAAAAATGTATTAGCCAGACACGGTGGTGCATGTTTATAATCCCAGGAGGCTGAGGCAGGAGGATAGAAAGATCAAGGCCAGCCTGGTCAATTTAGTGACTCAGTGAGACCCTGTCTCAAAATAAAAAAATAAAAATGGGCTGGGGCTGTAGCTCAGTGTGGAGGTCCTGGGTTCAGATGTATATCAAGACTAGTAGAAACTGGAACCATGACCAATTCCTGAGAACACTCAAAAGAAAATCCCCCCCTGCTGCAGCAATATCACTCTGTACCGGCTCAGTCACACCAGAGGTTCTGGCTCATTGAGAAGCAGCTCAGGCACATAAGGGACTGTATGAAAGAAAGCCAGTAAATGATTGTTTACCACTGGTATGAGGGCTAGATCTTAGTGACTCTCCTGGGTTACTGGTGAGGTGCTCCTTGTTTCTGTGTATAAACAGACATCCACTGACGTGTGTGTCCTCTCCCTCTCAGCACTGAGGGGAAGACCTGAGCCAGTGGCTGAGTCTGGGACCCTCAGGCTGGCCCTGGAGGTGACACCAGCAGCAGGCTTCTCTCCCTCCGTGTATGTCTCTTTCCTCCTGTGTTAGCCCTACTTTCAGCTAGTTTAACCCTTAGAGAGTTTGTAGGCGACAGAATTTCCAGGAGAAGCAGTTAGCATAGCCGGTGCTATGGAACCATACACACAAAATTGGTTTGGCCTGTGGGCAAAGATGATATGAAAAGATTTTTTTTGTTGTTGTTGTTGCTATTGTTGTTTTCAGTTAGGAGGAACAAGTTGGAGAGATATATTGTACCACACAGTTACCATAGTTAATAACAATGTATTGTGTGTTTGAAAATTGCTAAGTGAGTACATTTAAAAATTCTCACCCCCAAAAATAAGTATGTAGGATGACAGATAGTTCGTTCACCTAACATAGCTCTTCCATAACATGCACATATATCAAAACATATATTGTACTTCATAAATATATACAATATTTAGCTTTAATAACAAGAATAAAATCTTAACAATCATTGGTATTTGTGGATAACATCCATAATAATAAAGATGAACCCTTGTACTTCCAGAAGAATTGAGATATTCGTTGTTTAACCTTAAATCATCATCTATTTCTGACCACAACAGCAACAGTGATTACCCCTTCCTTTGATCTCATGCAGAGATCAAATTTTTTTCAAATGGTTTTTCAAATTGTTTTCAAATGGTTCAGCACTTAATGTATTTTGACCCATTCCTGTATTGTGACTAATTGTGCATGGAAATCTATCTCATCTAGCAACTAAATGGTGTCAAAAATTGGAAGGGTCACTGGTCAGGAAGGTAGTGAGGCCTGTGTCATGGAGATAAGCAAGCATAGAGGTCACAGGCAAGATGCAGAAGGGAAGCTAGTTTTAAATGACTGGACTCAACGATCTTCAATCTGAGCTCAGAGTTTCCATAAGCTTTTTGATAATGCAGTAAGTCTCTCATGGTACTGTCTAATTCCCCTTCACAAGCACTGCATTCAGAGTGTAATACATTCTCCATAAACACTGGATAGCTGGTTTATACTGTGTAACTGTCTTCCAAAATAATATAAGAAATATATGAAATCTTTCAATAATATAAGAAGTCTCATGTTGCATAGAGCTGGGTAGCATTGTTTTCTCTGTGAGCATGAACAGAGTTTGAGAAATCAGAAAATTCATAACACAAAAATTGAAATAATAATTTCTTCAATAATGACCATCTTTATAGGGAAATTCAAGAATTTACTATGTGAAAACCCTCTTCAGCAGCATGTGAAGACAGTGTCATCAGCTGCTTGAATAGGTTCTGTTTAGTGCCTTTTAAAAAGCTCTAATATACTTTGAAGGTGAATTTCTCAGAGGCTTTAAATTAACTTATAAAAAGGATTATACTGTCTACGATACACTCATGATAGCATTCTCATCTATGGAAAATCTGAGGTACAAAGATTGGTCCAAGGCTTATGCTCAACCAGTGGCAAATCTGAGAACTAAAGTCAGAAATTTCCCTGCCATAATTCATATTTTCCTTTAGAGGCACATAAATCACATTAAGTACTTGTCTGCAGGTGTGTTTTAACATAATCATCCACAAAATCCCCTATAGATGAAACCATTACACATTCTCACTCCAAGGCTGTAGAATCATTCATGTATCAAGGACATTGGTTCTTTTCTTGGAAAATGCTACACTGTGCTTCTTCCAAGTCCAAGTCTTTTACAGTGAGGATGGAGAGAAAACACAAATTTTATCAAGTCTGGCTCTGTCACAGCCAGTCTTGCTGTGGCTTAATAATTGGAAAGAAATCTTTCAAATTTTCTAGTGAGTTAATCACTTCTTCTCGGTATCTTCCAAGCTGAGTCACAGTGCGGGGCTTAGTGACCACATTCCTAAGCTGGGTAGGTAGCGGGGACGGGCTTTCACTCAGATTAGTGGGCTGTCACAGTCATGTTCTTCCCCCAAAACCCATCTTAATCACCTCGACAGGTGGCAGCTCGGAGCCTGGGAAAGCTCACTTCATGGTTCATACAACAGCATCTCTTGACTACTTGCTCATTAGGTCCTGATTCGTTCTGCAAAGCTGGGTTTCTGTTGATAATTCCTGAATAACACTGTGTTCTCAAGAACCAGTTTCTATCACAAAGACTATTTTTTTGGCTTTCCCAAGGGCTAAAAATACAATATTCATAATTTTTAGTAATAAACTAAGTACAAAACTGTTGAGCTTCATTTATCCCATGAGATGTAGAGATCTGAAGAATGGCCTGCTGGTCAGCATGACAGGGACAGGGGACAAGGCCAGGAACCAAAGCGAGTGTTCCCAAAGATACTTTCCTAACAACATGTGTTACAAAATGTCATGGTTTGGAGGCATTTTCCCTTCAAACCAGCTCAAATGTGGCTCCCCAGGACTTCCCTAATTCCTCCATTTGGCAGAAATGCCTCTTCTAGACTCCTATTGCTCCTCAGTTTTTGCTTTTTTCATTTTCTGCTTGAATTATAGCTATTTATGTTTTCTGCATTAATGTATGCTTTTGAGGGGGCAGAATCCCTGTCTAACTTATCCTTGTGGCCCCAACACCTGGCCCACAGACTTGTACACGGTAGGAGGAAGAAGCTGCTTCGCAGAGTGAGGAGGACGAGCCCTGGGATAGCAGGAGTCAGTAGAGAGGGTTATAAGTATCGTAACACAGAGGACCACAGCTCTCCAAACTGGACACATGCCACACTGGACAGAGCAAGTGCCAGGTACCCACTGAGAAGAGGGTCAAAAATAGAATAGGCAATTAGGCTGTAGATGCCAAAGGAGCACAAATTCATACTGTTAGTAGGAAAGTGGAGTTCTGATGTTTAATTTCCCTGCCTTTTTATTTTTGCCTTCAGACTGTCTGACAGGTTTTGTTTAACTTTTGCCACCTTTCCTCTTACATAGGATAAACTAATGTCCCAGGGTAGCTTAAGGGGTTGGCAAGGTCTCCTAGAGATGATTTTCCTTTCAACCAGTTCTCATATAGTTCTTCTCTGTGGATGCTCAACATGAAATAACAGATGTGTGCATTCATTTAGCAAGCTCAGCAGTTGTCTGACAGTGCTCCCAGTGGAAGCAGGCAAGATGCCAGGACTGGTGTGGGGTGTTCCCAGCTTCAGTTGTTTCTTGGCCAAAAAAACATGGTACCCATGACTCCAGAATCCCATGGAACCTTCCAGACTATGAGAAACTGACAAGCTGTTAAATCCCACATCCTTTGAAGTCTGGCAAATTTCTAATTCTGTTGCTCTGCCTCTACAATTGGAAACACACTAGTGTCAGGAAAAATGGAAACCACTGAGCTATTTGTCTGTGCTCACAGCCTTTGGGAAAAAATAATGCCCCAGTGTCTTGGCAGGAGTTTATCTCTAACTGCCAGTTGGTTCTAGGTGCCTTGAGCCTCCTGGGGGGTTATATTATTCTATATTATTCTATTGTTAAGTTTAGGAGATCATTCCTGCCATGGACAGCTATGCAGCATGGATTTCTGTAAGCAGGCTCATAATTGTCACAAATCTGTGGGAGTTACTTTTCCCACAAAATACCAAATGACCACCTTTTCAGTTCTTCCAGAGGAATTCCTTAATCCCCCTTCCGAAGACCCTGTAAAACAATTCCAAGCCTGAGACCCTCTGTGACCTTCATCATAACCTTCTGATCA